GCCCAGAGCAGCCCAAGTGGCACTTTGTCCTGCTTGGAAATGTTCTCGCAAGGAGCATCCCTGTGTGTTTGTACAGCAGCCTCTCCTTAGCTTCTCCAGACAAGGTCATGCAGGTTGTCAAGTTCAGGTTTCAGCTCCAGGATGAGTGACAGAGCCCTTTCATCTCCAGTGTCACAACACTTCTACCTGCATCAGGGCCTGCTGTGATGCCTGCCAGGCTCACAGGCATTTTGTTAAAGCTTTTGCAAGAGAAATTTGTCAACTGGTGACAGGGTCTCTAGGCCTGCCCTGCAGGTAATGTAGGCTGATCTCGTGGGATTTAGAGAATTGACTGAACTGGGGAAACTCATGGTCCTTGATCAGCCCAAGGGAGAAAGCAGAGCTACAGAGGAGAAGCCTCAGCCTCATCCAAAGAGACCAAACCAGATTATACAAACACCAGCAACTTGATGTTTTGAGAAAAAAATTGGCTGTATTTGGCATTCTTGAAGCAATCTGAAAAACTGAAATCCAACCTGTGCCAGCAAATCACCCATGAAGAAACCAGCATGTTCAGGGACGTGGCAAATCACAGTTGTGGCTTTATAACTCCTAGTTATCCAGCACACCAATTTCTTCCAAAATGAGGAATGAGTGTAAGCATGGTAGTGGCTGTGAGGTCTCACAGAAGACAAGAGTTACAGCTGGAATACGGATGTTTAAAGCAGTTCATCGGTCAAGATCAGCCAGAGCACTTCTACTGCCCTTCCCTCAGAGTTTAGCACTGCTGCTGCCGCTGAACACCCTGTGTGGAACAGAGGGGGTGAATCTTTACAACCACTTGTGTCTGGAGGCTGGGCTCTGGGGGTGCTTGGCCCCCTTGCAGGGGAGAGGAGCATGCTGGTCAGCCAGCATCCCACAGCTCAAGAGCTGGAGCCTCCTATAGCTGAGAGTCAGGGAAGTGAGCAGCTATTCTTTGGAAAATAACTTCAGTGTGCCAAACACCTTAGTAACAGAGAACACATCAGATGATAATCTGCTAATTCCATTTTGTATGGTTTTACAGTCCAAACTCTGGACACACCCCAGGCCCTGCTACCTCTCACTCTTTGCAGGGACAATGAGCTGATGGTTGTTGTTGGTTATCCACCCAACCCCACCATCTGCTCCTCAGCTCTCAGGAGTTACAGCTCTGAGCTTTGGAACAGCACTGTGTCAGCAGCACTGTCAGTTTCTTCTGCATCTGAAACTGATGATGTGTTTTTTCTTTTCCTTTCCCCATAAGCAATGCCTTTGAGAGAACAGGGATTTGCAAGGAAAGCAACACATCTTAACTTGCTGGAGTGGAGGCTGCAGAGCAAGTGGAGCAGGACGGAGCATCATGAGACATGTAGGGCCTTGGGACAGCTCTGCTCAGCAGGGAAATGCAGCAGAAGTGATTCATAGTCCTGAGCCCATAAAGTGAACCCTTCCTTTACTTGTGCTTTGAGGGATTTTTGCCCTCTGAAATTGCATTTTCTTGCCAGGTGAATAATATGACTTTTAAAAATAATTAAGGAAAGTACACAGGAGACGTTATTTGATTTTCTCATCTACTGCAAATAGAAGGTTTCTGGATCCATCACGCAGAGGCACAACAAAAATACTTTAGAGACTTTACGCACTGGGCCAAAGGAACCAGCAGTTCTGGGCTGTGCAGATCAGCAGCCAAGGAAACCTCACCTCAGACCGTCAATCCATCTCTTTTCACCAGAGATGTGATCATCCACTCAGATTCCTTTCTGCACAAGCTCCAAGCACTGATTTAATGAAAAGTAGCTATGACAATTCAAACAGCGTAATTCAGAAAAAATTATGTATTTCCATGTGGAGAATATGAGGGCTCAGCTGAGCTGGAGGCAATGGGAGCACCTGGGCCAGCACTTCCCCAGCCTGAATTCTGACAAGGCGGCAACAGAGGTGCTCAGTGTCCAGCAGCAGATCAGAAAAATGCAATCTTTGCACTCACTAGAATAGTTCTTAACCATTCTACTCTAAATTCTATTCTGTTCTATTTATCCCTGCAGCATCCAGAGCTAGGCCACACTAACAATTATGCAGTGGAAAACAAATAAATATGGAGGAGTACCTAAGAGGAGACTAGGTCCACTGGCACAATGTCTAAGTCTAAAATTTGCTACTATAAATGAGTGATGTGTCTTCTTAACCCCAGAGCCTTTTTTCTTGGTAAATAAGATGAAGGGAAAGAACCTAGTAAGTACAAATTACTACATTAAAAATGAACTGATAATCTATAATCATGTATGTTAGTGTATGGTCCCATGTGACACTCTTTGCTCTCAATTAGAGAGATGTGTATTTGATGGCTGGACTGTTCAGGAGGTAAGGAATTGGCTGGATTGGTGCAGCCAGAGGTTTGTGGTCAATGCCACAAACCAGATGAAGGCTGGTGAGATGGGTGGTGTCCCTCACAGCTCTGTCCTGGCACTGGTGCTCTTTAAGACCTTGGCAGCACCCTGAGCAAGTTCACATGTGGCACCACGCTGGGTGGTGCAGCTGACATACCTGGAGGATAGGAGGCCATCCAGAGGGAAGGTCAGCAAGTCCAGGTGCAAGGTAGGTCAGAGCAACCCTAGACATGAGTACAGACCAGGAGAATTTAATGACAGAAGTCCTGTGGGGATCTGGGGTTGCTTGTGCAAAAACTGGATGAGTCAACAACGTGGCCTCATAGCCCAGAAAGCCACTTGTATCCTGCCTGTGGCCAGCAGGGTAAAGGAGGGGATCCTGCCCTTGTGAGACCCCACCTGCAATGCTGCTGCATCCAGCTCCGGGGTCCTCAGCTCAAGAAAGATGCTGACCTGTATGAGCAGGTCCAGAGGGTCACAGAGATGATCAGAGGGCTGGAGCACCTCCCCTGTGCAGACAGCCAAGAGAGCTGGGATTGTTCAGCCTGGAGAAGAGAGGCTCCCGGGAGGCCTTACAGCATCTTCTGGGAGCTTGAGGAGGATTACAGAAAGGAGGGAATTGGACTCTTTGTATGGGCAGACAGGACAAGGGGCGCAGTGGTTTTGAACTGAAAGAAAATAGGTTTAGATTAGATGTTAGGAATAAATTCTTCACTGTGACAGTGGTGAGGCACTAGAACAGGATGCCCAGGGAAGCTGTGGATGGCCCATCCCTGGTCTTGTCCAAGGCCAGGCTGACCAGGTCCAGTGAAAGGTGTCTCTGCCCATGGCAAGGGGGTTGGGACTGCATCATCTCTGAGGTCCCTTCTAAACAAACCTTTCTATGATTCTGTTTTTGAAACTGTTCCACTTCACTCAAAGTGAGCAGCTTTGTTGTAGGTTTTGCGCAGGTAGGAACACAAAGCTGTCTATAACTCACTGCTAACTGCTCTGGAGATTTTTTTTTTTTTTTTTTATGAAACAAAACCAGCCCATCAATGAGGAAAATGAATCTTTATTTTTTTTTTCTCTAAAAGCAGAATCCACGTACATGGTTTTTTGTATGGTTTAGAGGTGGTACTAAGATGTGAATAGTCACATCACAGAAACAATACAGAACAACCAGTGAAGGAATGAAGAGCCAGTTTGACAATTGCTTTATCAAGTAGCCCAAACATTTTTAGCTAATGGTTTTGCCACAGTGGACTTCGGGACAATATTAAAATCTCACCTACTCAACACAAATACAGAGATAATGACTGGGAAAAGAGCTACAAAATACAGTTATTGCTGCTGTATCTGCATTGCTTCCTCGCAGGATACTCTACTGTATGCTGGGAAAGCAGTTCTTAAATTTCAGTTTCATTAAGAAGGTCATTTAGATAAATTAAAAGTAATGAACCAGCCAATCTCACAGGGTTAATTTATCTGAGACCAAAAGAAAATGGGTTGTTCTACAAAAAAAAAAACAAAAAAAACCAAAAACAACAACAAAAAAAAAACGCAGAGAGGTTTTGTTTTATAAGGCGAAGAGTAGATTGTTATACTCTGAAAAAGAGAGGATGGATGTGCTTAGATATTTAAGTAAATTTGGTTTGTAGGTGTTCCCAAAGCCTGCAAAGGACAATCCCGGCTGAATGACCTGCCAGCACCAGTGAGATCTCCCCTGTGCTCGGGAGGAGCGGCTCTCAGCTGTGCCCCTCAAGGTCCCAGCCCAGTTGCACTTACACACACGCCAGTCTGCCTCAGGTCTTCTCTCACAGGACTGAACCAGCCCACACCTCTGCTCTGCTGAAGTCAGGCTACGTGCTGGTGTTTGGGAGACTGGGCCCTCCCATGGCTATTGAGTGAGAGAGGGAACGAGAACTATTGCAATCATTTAGCTTAAAGAGCAGACAGAGCGATAAACACTCCAAGCACAAGTTATGACAACCCTTTAAGACCTGAAAATGGAAGGTGGAAAAGCACACTGATAACTGTGAACCACACATGGTATTTGGAAGTGCCTCTATAAACATCTGTGAGAGACTTGATGTGCACCAGCACATTTCCCTGTACTGCATGGCAAGGAAAGCCCAGCTCTCTGTAGGATGCTTCCCATGCAAATGTGCATTTCCCCGGTGATTGGGTGCCTAGGTCAGCAGCTTCTGATGAAACCTTGAGAAATGTATTCTAGAACACCTAAAGATGAAATTTGAACATCTCTCGTGTTACCAAGCAAAAGGTTAGCTGGAAAAACCATTTAATACAGGTGATTCTAGGTTTAGTTACATGATTAGTCTAAACAATGTGCCCAAACATACTCAATTTGAACAAAATTCTTAAACTATGCCTCTCTAAAATTTACAAAGTATATAAAACATGTGATTTGACATTTATAAAACCTCAGCCCTTTTACAGAAAACAAAACAAGGCCATAGAATTTTAAGTTTAAATCTATTGGTTTTTCTTCTCAGCAGTTTTAGTTCCTATGATAAAAAAACTTCAACAAACAGCATTCCACCATGGCCTTATAATGCAAGGAATAAATTAGCAAGTCACACTGTAAATAAAAATAAATAATTTCTAAGTTCGTTTTTTTTTTTTTTTTTAACATGGTCTTTTTAATTGCACAGTATTTTAAATTTTCAGTAGCAATGAAAAGTCAGTTGGGTATTTTTCTAAATGCTCCAGAGAGCAGGAAAGCATTGTGTCTCATTTTTCAAGCTTTACACATTGAAAATGCCTTGGTCAAGCCATCAATTGATAAAGCTGGTAGATGTTTTGGTAGTCTCTTACTGTGGCAAGACGCTGCAGTATCTCTCCCCCAAGGCATTCAGTCCCCCGGCGCTCACCCTGCTGGGGCAAACGCCCCCAGTGTCCCCTTCCAAGTGAGGTACTCTGGTTTACACTGGCAGCTTCGGTATTTTTGGGAAGGTGTTCACCATTAGCTACAATTTCACAGCAGAAGTTCATCAACATCTCAGCTATATTCTGCACCCCCGAGGCGGCGGGAGTCTCCTTCGAGGGCTTCCCCAGCCCGGCACACCTTCTCTTTTCGGGGCGTCACACGAACACATCAGGGTTTTGGCTCTCCCCAGAGCTACTCTGCAATGCAGGACCAAGCTACAGTTCAGCCATACCAAAGAAAATGGGACACCTGGAAAGGTGTGATCTTACCTCAGACCATTAGCAGTATCTTAAACCCACCTGCCAAATATATGTGTGTATATATACAAATATATATATATTACACATATTTGAAAAAATAAAAAACAACAAAGAGATTAATACTGTCATAGCCTGGGTATATTTAGCTCAAAGTTAGTTACCTACAGGACATACTTAAAAACTCTTAAATATTTGCAACATGTTGTTGTATTGAAAACAGCTGTGGGAAGATGCCTAATGTATGTGCATTAAAAATACTGTATATCTATATACTATTACTGATGCAGTTATAACAGCTTGGGATTTTATCTAAAAATACAGAGTTTCTGCTAAGTATCAAAACAACTCTCAAGTACTGAAGACTTGGGAAAAAGGGAAGTTCTGCCCTCTTCTTAGGTGAGGGACAGCTCTAACTTGAAGGTACTAAATCCTTCATTGCATCTCTGGCACTCAGCTGGGGCCAAGACAGTATCACTGAGTTAGCTCTGCTGTTTAAGGATCATGGGAGGTTACAGCCCAGTTATTTGCATCAATGCAATTACACAGACAAAGGTAGTATTTGACCAGCATCACTGCATCCGTGTTTGTTACTGGTACACTCTTTAGAAGTTGTTAAATATACAAACTGATTTCATCATGGAGAAGTTCACACACAATTCCTCCATCTGTTACCACAGCAAAACAAAAGGAAGTATCAAGGCAAACATTTTGTCCACAATAAATTTCCTTTACCCAACATAAGCGAGTCTAAGGGGAACTAGCACATCATTGCACAACATTAAAATCCACCAAATTACTCCTGCTCTTGTATTTTTAAAGCATTTTCAGTGTTTGGGTGCAAAGCACAGAACCTATCTCAAGAATTCCCTTTGGGGATGCAGTACTGCCCTGGCTGTGTGCAGAGGCAATGGACACGGGTAACTCAGGCCTGGGCCGTGCAGCTCCTCATGGATATCCCAGTGGCTGAGCCTGCTGAGCCCCTGCTCTAGGCCAGACTGTGATATGTGCATGGCAGGAGCATCCTGGTGCCCACACCACAGGAAAAACCACAAAACACTTCTATTACATATGCACGTTTCAGTTCATGCTTAAAGGAATTGAACTTTTGGCAGAAGTAAATACCTACTAATAAAAAATAAACTTAGAAACCCATTAAAACTACAAACACAATAACTGCATTATTAAAACAGCTGCACCTACACTATGGTGTAGTACTTCAGTGTAATTCAGTTTAACCAAATCTTAGCATACAACTAAGATGAGACCCATTTCCCAGTCCAAACCTCAGCGTCAGCGCTGCATCAGTCTCTACATTAAAACACGCTCTACGGATGGCGACCAACCAAATCCAGGGAAAAACTGTTGCCACAGGTGAAGAGGTCTTCTCCCTGAACAGACAACGCAGGACAGATGGTGTAGAGCCCCTCTGGCCATGCCACGGGGACAGGCAATGGCAGAACTTGCAGCGCTCCAGCAGTGGAAGCTGCAGGAGCTCCACGTCCTGAATTGGTTTGCTGAACATGGTTCAGATTATTGGATATGTCTATAGCACAATGCTCTTTAGAAGCATTTACTGTATACCCAAACCCTACTTGCTGCAACACATGGTGTCACACAAGTAGTGAAAATGTCTTCGTATTCAAAGGTGCTTGGACATCATTTTCAGGCAGCATTTTACCTTTATTTTAGTGAGTTCCCACTACAAAGATTTTAGAAGGAAGATGCCAATAGCCTATTTTTTCGTTTTAGTATGTGAAATTGAGACAGACACCTAAATAAATACCTACTTTTACTTGCCTATATCTATTCTATGTCTGAAATCCCTAATTTTTAAATAAGGGATAAAATGTTGCCCAAAAGACTAGTTATAATTTTACATTTGTGTTTCTAATCTACAAATCAAAATAGTTCTCAGTTAAAAAGATACAATTTGTATCAACAGTAAAAGGTACTTTCTGGTTCTTCAGGGCCTTACTTAAAACTCCAGCAAGTGTACCAAAATTATCAGCTGTAATAGTGTAAACGAGTGACGTTTTTTTAACACTGAACATCATTGCAATGGATGGAAACCTAAAACTGTCGGCAACTGATCATGTCATGGAAGTACATCTGACATCAATTGCAAAAACTACTTCTATTTTTCATATATATATATAAAAGCTAAAGAGGTGCTAGTAAAACCCATGACTTTAAACCAGAAATATCCCTTACTAATGCTAAAACAGACTTGGCTTGTCTGTTTCTAAAACTACACTATTTGTGGCAAGAAACAGGCCTATACAATGCAAAAAGCGAAAAACTAACTCCAGGAACACATATGGTATCTTCTCTCCCCAAAACTCTCCCCTCCCCAGCCAAAAAGGAAAAAAAAAAAAAGTTTAAGTTATTATTTTGAGCTACAATATCATTACCATAGTGCAGATAATAAATGTTGCATATCCTGAACACACAAAACCTTTTCAGGCCAGCCTTGATAAATAGCAAGAAAAATCAAACAGTATCTTAAATACAAAACTTGCATTGAGATAATTAAATTCATTTAAAAACAGGTAAATACTTTATGAAAAGCATATTTTATCCAGTACAGTTGTGCAGCAATACAAAGGAAAAACATACAAAATAACTAAACAGGGCCCTATGATTTCAGGTCCCCATCTACTGACCAGAAATACACAGAGCTGGGCAAAAACACACGGGAACTGAAACAGGGTGGCCTGGTTTTGGGTGGTTCTGAGCATTTGCAGCTTCTCTTAGCTTCCAAAGGGGCTGCAAATTCTCAATACCTCTGAAATCAGGCAATAAGGCTTTCAACATATCCATAAATAAGTAAAAAAAAAAAATTTCCTCCTCTGTTTGCATCTGATCTTACTAATTGACTGCATCAACAAAAATGTGTAACTATTTAAGCAAAACAAAGAAAGCAACGAAAAGTGCCATACTATAAATTACCAATATATTGTTACCCATTTCACTGTTAACTGGTAACTTAATTATTTGTTTCAAAAAATGAAGTCAGTGCTGTAGGAAATCTTTGTTTTCTACAAACAGGTGATTACAGCACAAAAAAGCTCACAAAACCAAACAAACATACATCAGACATACTCGTGGCAGTTTAAAAACTTCAGAAACTTGGCTTGAAAATTGCCTGCCAGAAGTAGCAAAATCCTCATTCTTCAGGTTAATATCTCACAGCCCAAGGATAAGCATCCAGCAAGTTAAAAAATGAAACCAAAAATCCCAACAAAATGTAACAATGATAAGAAAGTGCTGCATATAAACCCCTGATGCACCAAAGATTATAACCAGAGACCACAGATTTTTTTTAATATATATATATATATATTAATTTAAACTGGAACATCCCTCCAGATGTGAAAATAGCCATTTAAAAATTTTCAAACTAGAACACAAAACTTATCTGGTACTTCCAATGCATGGGGCTATACATACAGACTCCATGATACAGTATTTCACATAACCGGATTACTATATAACCTCCTTGCTGAGAAGGAGATCCCAAATGCTATTGTAGCAAACCTCCCTCAGCCTTAGAGCTGAGCTGAAAACTACGAGACACCACAAAGATGCGTCATCTCTCAATAACCTAGCTGAGATTTCTCCACTAAGATGGCAGCAGCGAGCTGCTGAGCGTCCGTCACGTGAGGGTTCTTCTTCATCACCATCCTCACGAGATCGGGGGGGAAGATGTTGCAGAGGTTAACGTAAACCTTCTCCCGGGTGTCTTGGAGCCTTGGGGGGTCTTGCGGGATTCCACAGTAAGGAACGCGCCAGGGCTGGTCCTGCTGCTCGGGAAGGCTTTGGAAGGCGAACTGCTCGTAGCACGGCTGCGTGGGGTTGCTGGGCAAAGAGTACGTCTGGCGGTAGCCGTAGGCATCCATCCCGTAACTCTGCCTATCCCAGCCTCCCAGCCCCTCCTGGCCAGAGTAAGGCTTCCTGTGTCTTAACGGGGAGTTTTCGTACAAGCGCGAGTCGGAAACGCTGTCTATTCTCGTGGACACCAGGGCTCTCCCCAGATGCAGCGTCTTGGAATGAGACGAGCTCTGAGGCGCGGAGTAGTCGTTCGGACAACTGGAACGAGCACCGACTGCTGGGTGCTGCAGATGCACAGCCATATACGGAATGGGAGATTTGTGGTGATGCTTTGGTTCTTCGTGACTGTAGCTCTGCACTCGAGTGAGGGGCTCGTGGTAGCCCTGCAGGAAGGGCTGAGCGTTAAGGCGGCCGTGGGCGTGCATGTGCTGGCACTTCAAGTTCTCCTCCAGCTGCGGGTCAGGCGAACTCATGTAGGAGCGGTCGCTGTAGCCCACGTAGGAATCGCTGCTGCCGCAGCTGACGCTCCCCTCGCTGCTGCAGTCGGAAGCTACAGAGCTAATCCGATAATCTGTGTCCAAGGAGAAGCGCCTCTCGGGACTACGCGGCCCAGATATGCTGAGATTGGAATATGCACTCAGCATAGAGTAATACCCTACATCCACCGGAGACTCACATTTTGGATACTGGTCATAAGGCATTGGTGTTCCATGATTTTTGGTTGCCATCATCACTGTAGGATACTGTCCCTGTGGTCTTTGATCCTGAGGTGGGAAGTGAACTCCGGATGGAAGGCCGTTAGTTAAAGGTGCAGTACTTTGGGGTTTTCCAGCAGAGGAACTTGGTATGCTAACTAAAGAAGGTACAGACCTGGTTTCCAATTTGTTTTTGGTGGGAAGCTTTTCCTCCAAGTCTTGATAGACTTGAGTCCTTATACTAGGATCAGACTGCCTCTTTGGAGCAGCACGCTTCAGCTCTGAAGTGCCATCGCTTTTAGTGCTACAGGGAACGCTATTGCTTTTTACCAGTCCTCCTTCACTTGTAGTTTTGGCAGCTGTGCTTCTAGACATGGCACGAAGTTCATCAGCTACGGATCGCTGAGGCTGATTTCCTCTTTCTGGATGATAGTATTTGCATTTGTGTCCATAGGTACATTTCTTCCCTATTAATACAAACATAATCAGATTTTAAAAACTTCAAACAAAATCTGTTAGCCATCAAATAACAGAAATGCCCCTAGTTTGAAGTTTTACTGTTGATTTGAAAGATCTCACAAACAAGATTGGCTTCGTGCAACACAGGGTGTGCTCTAAGAGCTCCCCTCCTGTTTTTTGGGGAAAAAGGAGGTGGTAGTGTCCTGCAGCTGGTGCTCTGGGAATGCAGACCAACACTACCAGCCATGTTTTGAACTGGATGTGGCACTGCCAGGGAGGCTGTACACACCTGCTGTGTTGGGCCAAGGCAATATACAGGGAGAAAATTTAATTGGGAAGTCCCACAGCCAAGGCCAGCAGGCTTCAGCTCAGTCAAGATGCCTGTAGGAATGCTCAGTAGCTAAACTTCAGATAGCTCAATTTATTCTCTGGAAGAAAACCTCAATATCTCATGACACTAGAAAAGGGCTTCTGGAACCTGCAGAATTTAGGTGCTGATTTGGATTTATTCTAATGAATGATTAATTAAGTAGCTCCTTTAGTTCAACTAGTAGACAGAAATGGTTTTTAAGTGGTACATGAAAAAATCGCTTTAGTTTCCACCATCAGCTCAGCATTTCAACCCATCTCAGGCTAAGACAACAACGTTAAAACCAGTGTTAAAGAGTTTTAAACACTTTTGGCAGTGTTAAAATAAATATTATGTACTGGGACTAGTTCCCAGTCCCAGTACATAAAAGTGATGGGTTAGACCAAATTACCATATGGACATGGCTGCTTCTTATGTTCTGGCACAATCGGCTTCTTCCTAAGAAAATTATCCAGACTTGGACCATGGCGGCCAAGAGGATCATCAGGAGGCATAAATCTACAATGAAAGAACAAAGTATTATGGAAGCAAACAAGCCTTTTCATACTTCTCATGCAATGACCAAGAATCTCATAACTATGCTACACCATAACTTGCCATCCTGTCATTTTTAAATCTGGGAACCTCAAGAGCAGTTTTGGAAGGCCATCTTTCTGCTGCAGGTGCTGCCTTAGAGGTAGGTCACAGGAAGAGCCTGTGTGGACACCTCTAGACTGCTACAGACACCTTTGGTCCAGCTCAGCTGATGCTTTGTGGCAAAGCAGGGCTGCAAATAACCCATCCCCAATTCCAAAGTAAGGGCTGCAATACAGGCAGCCGTTTCTTAAAACACCACTTCTAGCTTTGCAAAACTGTGCTGACAGCCTGGGATTCTTGCATCAGCATTCAGGCACCTCAGCACAAGTGCCCGCTTAGGGGAACACTCCCACCACAAGAAGTAACTGCAGTTGATCTGTAGGCTGGGGTACAGTTACTATAGATGGATCTAATCAGACATTTGAACTACAGACCCCCTGAAGTTCATTCCAATTTGGGTTCTTCTATGACTCTAGGACTTAGGAGTCTAACCACAGGCACTCAGAAATGTTGGTTCAGTATATCAACACAGTTGGAATATTACACCATAGCATACATCAAATATACATTGGCATACACCAAAGAGGAAAAAATAGCATAAAAAGACATAAAAATGTTGCTGCAAAAGCAATTCCAAGTACTTCTAACCAGAAGACCAAATTTATGATTGACTATTCCTCCCGTTTTCCTACATATACCTAATGATCTGGGTGTAAGATGAAAAATTTGCACAAATCTTCAAACTGTCCTTTCCTCAATTATTTTAGTGGCACATGTAAAGACAGAATGACTTACTTGTCATTAACAAAAGAATACATCAACAAGCGTTCATCTATGAACTTCTTCCATTCTGGCTTTTCATTAGCCAGGTCCCTGTAGTTATCATTAGAGACAATGATGCCATCTGACTCGAAGGCCAACTTCACTATAAATCGGTCATCGTAGCACACCACCCTTCTCCCTTGCACGCGCCGGGAAGGTGTGAACACGAGAATCTTCTCCTTCTCTAATTTGCGTAAGATTTCTTGATCTACAAGGAATAAGAATCAAAAGCCAAACAAGAGAGAAAAGAAAAAAGTTTGTTTAATCTCTAAAGATATTAGATTCGAGGAAGAAAATCCAAGCATTTAGGACTAAAAATGTCTTATATGTTATAGTCCACATATGATATCTGAACTTATAGTCAGAAATCAGCTGCCAATACTTTCAAAAAACCCTAAAAACAAATCAAAGCCTCCTGCTCCACACCATTTCTCTAAGACTAACACAGGGGACCTTCTTCATGTTCCTGTGGCTCAAAAGAAGAGCCATTTTATCAAAATGCCTGTGCAAAACTCCTCCAGCTGAAGAGGTCATTTTAAACACCACTGAATACAAAGACTACACCCTAGTACAGCCACAGTTTTCCCATAACTGAGATCCTTGGTAGAGCCCAGCAAGAAACATCTTTTGAAAGAATTCCAGTAGCTCTTATTAATGGGACTGTCTCATATTAATGGGACTGTCATGAAAGTCTCTGCCCATCAACAGAAGGGGTACTCACAAGGACTAGAAAACCCACATTCTGTACAAGCACTCAGGTTCTCCACAAATACTAACAGCATTCCCCAGAAAGGCATCTGATTTAATTTTGTAACCAAGAGCAAAAATGGTGGTGGTTTGTTTTAGTTTGGTTTTTTTGTTAACACCAGTAATAGTTTTGATTGTATCTTTCCTTGAATGGTTTACACATGTATATATAAATTCTTATCAAAGCCAGACAGATTTCTCTTCAATCCTTCTAAATAAGCATATTTAGCATTTTATGTAGTTCCTTCTTGTTCTACACAATCTGTCACTCACATATCCCAGAAGTATTTTATTTTCCCTTTTCCTGTGTAGAACCTGGAGTTCCCAAGGAGCTTTGAAAGACTGACCTCAGGCTACTAAGGAAGCTGTACCTAGTACTGGGGCACCTACCCCTTACATTGATTCTCCTACCCATACCCTGGAGCAGAGAAGCTATGAAAGAAAAATACACTAATAAACTGGGCAACATCTAAAACAGCAGAAGATGTTTGCATAGTGAATATGAGTCATGGCTATTAGCAATGGTTAAGATCTCAACTCAACTGTTTTGTAGCATAAGAAACTTGATAGGGAACATGTTCCATCTGGGAAAAAAAAAGATTCCAACAGGGAGAAATGCAGCATTAATATTACATATAAACAATATATTTAATACAAGCATTTATTTGCTTAGTAGAAAAAGCACAAAATTTTACATGAAACTACCACCTTTTTGTATTCAATCCCCAGCCCAATAAGTGAGATGGAAGGTGATTTTTTTTTCCCCTGCTAAGAAAGAATAAAAAAATCTGCCATGTGATTACTGGTGGGCACTGGTAAGAAAGATGAGGCTGTTGTTTAGTCCAAGAGGCTTCTCAAGAATGCTGACAGTCTAGAACCATCCCCATACTAGTCATCGATGGCCTTTTCAAAACTCCAGCTGGCCGTGTATTTCAGGTGCGTATCTCTGGAAACAGAGTGTCAGCACCAGGTATTTTACACGCCTGGCAGCACACAGGTTTCCTGCATCTTTAGAGGAAAACAGAAGATGCAATATTTTTACAGAAGATACAATAACCTGCTCTGATCTTTCTCCCATTTTCAGGGTTCATGATGACACATGGAAAATTGATTTCTCATTGCTAAATAATTGACCATTGCTAGACAACTGACCATTGCTAGGTCAATTCTAGCTCTGCTGCTTTCTTGAAACACGTTTTGGGGCATTTAGCCCTACACACACTTCAAGCAGATGTCACAATTAGAAGTGGTCAAATTTTTATTACTTAGCCAATGCTCTTCTCACACCCCAAACACTAGTAAAGCAAAAGAGAATGGCTTCAAGAGGAAGGCTCCACACTGCGAGTGCCAACAGGGTAACAGCAGCTTTCCAAACGTTTCCTTGTGTTAACGCTCTATATTCTAGTAGCAATCAAGCAAATGGAATGAAGTGTTGAGAGGATATTTCCAGATATTTGAAAATGCATGTGGCAATCAAAACATGCTCTGTATTCTTTTAGAAGCAATGTATATTAGTCTCAAAAGTTTTCCCACCTTTAATGGCAGCTGTGTTGCCCCCAGCTAAAATAAACAAACCCTTCCTCCTCTTTAACTTCTAGGGGGTTTTTTAACGCCCAATTCCTTTCTATTTCAACTTTAGGGCAGTTGGAGGATGTCTCTCCAGCCTTCACAAAAAACCTGTTAGTTTAATGAAGGAATAAATACCTCTATACCAGATTTTTTTCTAGATAAACACGTTCAAAATCAAAATTTTCAAAAGTTGTCTATCTGCTAATAGTAATGACAAAGAGGGGAACCATGCCCTTTCTCTGTGGATAATTCCCATAACCCAAAGCATGGGCAGTGTCAGGCCAGCCTGGCAGAATCTGCTCACCACAAGAAGTAACACCCAACAAATTACTAACTTCAAACGTCTTTGCTACTAATGCTGCATGGACACAGCAGATTTTAAAAAAGGCAATTACATTCCTCAATAAGTAAGTAGCAATGGTATAGAAACTTAAGTACATGATCAGAACAGGAGGACTTGGTGAGGGCATTGCTTTGTCTTTTTCCTGCCTATAGATCACAATGAAATTACTGCACCAAAGATACTTTCTGTTACAGCCTTGATGAAGATTTACTCATTTGAACAGCAGCACTCCTCCTGGGCAAAGCACTGAACAAACAAGCAAAGATGGAGCTTACCTGTTATAAGAGCATCTGGTCTCGACTGCTCTTTCCTCCATGCTGGCACAAACACAGTAACATCCTTGTGGCCTCTTTCCAAAAACCAATCTACTGCCAACTTGATTCCTCGACAAGAAAATACTTCTTTGTTCCCATGGCTGAAACACACACATTAAAATTCTTTATTAGATGACTTTTTCTATGACCATAAATGGAGCTCAGTAAAATGCAGATGTCATAGCCATGCTCTTCACTTGCTCCATGGTTTCTAAAGGCAGCTGGGACTCTGTCTGAGCCTTGCCCAAACACAGCCATCATTTCCAAAATGGTGTGGGAGAGGGCTGCTAAATCTTCCAAACATATTTATTACCTGTACACAGATTTGACATGCAAAGAAAAATATAAGTAGGAGTTTTTAACAATCCTCAAAGCCCACCCAAAAGTATGGGGTGTAACAGGCAGCTGAAAGACTTGCTGAAGGAAAGCATGAGGTCCAAAATACCAACATGAGAGTGCACCGTGCTTAGGAAATGGTAGCAGATGAGCATAGGTGTGCACAGCCGCAGGGGAAGGGACAGCAAAGCCAGCTGCTGCAGGAGCTCCACAAGGTCCTGTGTGAATGGGGAATGAGAGAGGAGAAGGCCTCCAAGCCCAAGGGGATGGGATGGCAGGCATTCAACAGGACAAATTAGGCAAACTGGAGAGACTGTCCAAAATCAACACTGGCAAAACTAAGAATGTGCTTAGTATGTACTTCAGAAGGAGAAATTAATGTGTATTTAAAATGCTGTGTAGAGACAATTAACTGTGATCAGACAAAAGCAAAACAAAATATGTGTCTGTTGTGCAATAACTGTCTGGGGTAAGGCAAGAGACACAATTATGTCATGTTCTAAAGGCAGACAAGTCCTTGCCCTACTTCCACATCCAGTTTCAGGCATGACATTATAAAAGGCATAGATGAAATAGAAAGGATTCAAAAGAAAGTGAAAGGAGACCTATGGGGAAAAGCTGAATGAAGCACATTTAGCTAATCTGGATAAAAAAAAAAAAGCAGCTTGTGGAAGAACAAACCAATCTTCCATCTATAGGAAGTAACTGAACGGGAGAACAGCAATCAACCAGTGGGTGTCCATAGGAAGGTTCTGGGAGTAGGGAGCTGCAGGGTGGTTGCTGTGAGAAAAATCTGGGATTGCCCCAGGATGGGCACACCCAGCTCTAGCCAGCTCCACAGTGCAGGAGATGGGAATGAGGGAACACCACGGCATGAGGATGTGGAGCTGCTTCATGAGGAGCAGGTACACCCCCAGAGGGACTTGCACACTAGAGAACAGGAAATGTGTAAGAAGGAAAGAGCAGCAGAGAGAAAATGTGACATTCTGACCGTAGTTCCCTGCACTGCTCACAGCTGCTCTGAAAGGACTGACTGCCACCTGCAGCTGTGACAAGGTGTAAGAGTGATGCCGTGGTGAGGTAGTGAGGAGGACACATGTTTGGAGTGAAGCAAGCCTGGAAAAGGGGAGACAGTCTTTCCCCTAAATATTTTAATGTTTGTCTTTTTTGTTTCCCAATATCTGATTTGGAATTAAATATTTATATTAACAGGCTGTAAATTAAATTGAATTGCCCAAGCTGAGTCTGCCTGACATAAAAAATTACATGATGAGTGACCTCCCTGTCATTATTTTGAGCCATGGGTTTTCTTGCTTCTGCTCCTCCTGTTTTCTCTCCCATTCTGCTGGGAGGCAAGCCACAGCCAACCCACTACAGTCCCACTGGATAAGGACAGAAAAGTTCTTAATTAGAGCTAGGAACAGTTAAGCACTATATTAGTAAAAGCTTTCCCCCTGATCTGTGGGACAGTCTGGCCATGGATTTTGGGATCTCCTCATTGGACACTTTGCAGAACGAGGCAGACAGCTCCTCTGAGGCCTATCTAGGTTCACCATGTACAGAAGACAAGCAACTTATGTGATGTCCCTCCCAACCCTGCAGCTCTGTGTAGCAGAAGAAACACAGGGGCATAGAAAGAAGCCATCACCTTTCACTTGGCTGGCTTGTCATGTATAGCAGGTATGCCACAATCTGCTTTCCAGAAGGGTAAAAGACAATTCTTTGTCTGTGATCAGTGAAAGGGACAATATTATGACAGATAGCCACAGGAATTTTAGAAGTCCCTTTCTCCTTCCACGCTTTGGGGTAAATAGAACACCAGAAAGTTATTTAAAAACTTTTTCCCCCCTCAGTAGGAAAGTAAGTACCTACTTTTTCCACCTTTCTAAAACATAGCACTGCTGTGTCTCTCTTGACACTGGGAGCTTGAGTAATTGCGCAACAGACCAAGTGCCAAACAAGTGAGAAAACTTTTGCAAAAATGTTCTGATTTCAGAAGCCTGTGAAGGAGGTGGCGTGCACTTGCACCTGAGTCAAGAGAGAATGAGTCATGGCTAACACTCCTTACAAAGCATCGTTCTCAGCAAAGGCTGTGTTGAACGTCACAGATCCAAACAAAAGGGGAAAAAAAAAAGAAAAAGGAAACGAAGGGCCCACTACCATTAACTGGATTTAAGTGAGGAAGTGTCCTACTTCCTCTTGTAAAGAAATTGGAGACAGTACCTGCAAACATAAGCGTATACTCTGATATTGCAACTGTTGCCATAATGATCCAAGCTTGTAGATTTTAGCTGCCATGGGGCACTCAAAGGATAGTTTAAGCCCATCCTCTGTGCCTTTACAGCTACACTAGGAACACTGTCAGGAACAATGTATCTATGTACCTCAATATCCTATTCAGCTACAGTTATGGGCCTCTGCAGTAACACATTCCCTGTTTTCTATGATCACATCACACAATATTGTATTACATCATAACAACACTGTAATAATAAAACACAGACCACTATTTTTTCTAGGCATTGTTTTATACTATACCACTATTCTCCTGCTTGTTTGGCTGCAAGAGGTATCTCTGTGTATTTCAGAACTTACCAGGAATAGGAAACCAAACCACACACAGATGTGACACACTTAAAGTGCACGTGCACACAATGCACAGCAAAAATGGCCAACAGTATTTAATCCATGCCCTAATTCCATCTTCCCTTGACAACACAAGATTGGGACACTTGGTGCACATTGAATGCCTGAGGGGCAGCCATAAGGGCTCCTTTGCAAAGCCTGAGACAAGAGATTACTGCTCATGCTATCAGCAGGCTGGGTGCAATCATAAACATATTGTAATCCATTTTAAAATAGTCAGGAAGATCTTGTTCCAGCTATTAAATTCCACTGGAATCACTGTACTTTGATTACGCTAAACAATCTCCATGGTTTCAAGTGGATAAATCCACTTTTCACTCCTGACAAAGAAAAAATGGTGTGTTAGACTACATTTTAGCAGTGCTATGTTTCTTTCGGCAAATCTGAGAAATAATTTCAGGAAAAAATCCTGGACTCTTGGGAAAAAAGGGACATTCTTGCCTATTGCTTTCCATCAGGTTGTAGTTCAGTCCATGCTTTTTAAAGGCAAAGGGAGGACCAGTCAGTTCAGCTCCTTAGTTTTCTATTGCATAGTACAGACTATTAAAATTCTTTCATCCAGAATAGAAATTTTAAATATACATAAACTGTATGAAACAGAAGTGGGGAATGCATTACAATGCATATCAGCTATTCTGCACTGCTGAACAAGTGAATTTATAACTTGTATAAATCTTCACTCTTTTTTCTGCTCCTTTTCAGGCACATGCCTAAGCTTGGATCTGAGTGGATACAAATTCCAAGGAATTGAAATCATTAGTGAGAAAATCTGCGAAAGAGATATGCAATTAAAATTTGTTCTTTTGTTTTGTTGTTAGGCAGATTTGATGCTCTTCATTTTGTGATCTTTGTGCTTCATCAGCTTTATCATACGTCATATGATGAAAAGACTGAAATCATGCTGCTGCTTCTGACTTTTTTTCCTTCTTCTTAGTTGTGAAAAAGATGAGAAATGTTTGTACTTCTTTGTCAAGAAACTTCCTTTTAAAAATCTCTTTCCAGTCATTAGGAATATGAGAAAGCTCAGACCAGTCAGGCTGACAGCTGTAGCCCTGGGTTACATACTGGTTTATAGTGCTTTGGTTCTGTTTGCTGACTATTTTTCATCCACCACTCTCAGTTGCAAGATAAAGTATATTCCTTTAGAAGTACCTATTTCTTTTTCACATTGTGTATGAACGATTCCTTTTACCATCATATTTATATTTGGTCTGTTGATAGTTGTAATTTTATTTTTAAATGAAGGAAAATAAAGCAGCATGTCTCCTAAGCAAAAAAATTAACCAAGCATTTTCTAAGCCAGAAGAATTAGTAAAAAGTGTAAAACTTCTGATGAGAACACTTCACTTTCATTTTCTGTTTCCTTCCTAGACCCCAAATTAGATTTCCTAGTGACCGTCTTGGAAAGACTTGTGGTATACATGCTTAAAAGACTATTTAGAATTACCTGCAAGACTTCTAGTGTGCTCTAACACAACACCCAAACCAACGCTCAGATTCTGGAAGCTACAGAAAACATGCACATTGATGACAAGAGGTGAGGTCTACAATAATGTCTGCTGCATTACAAGTTTTTATACAACTGAAATCTGGACACATCCACACACCTACCATGTAAAAGCATATTGACTAAAAGCAAGAACAATACTACAACACATACCTGCCCATTACAAGTTATTACAGAGTTACCAAACTATTTTCTTCTACCATATCATGGGAGGAAGAGTGTTCAGTCCATAGCATGGACAGAGAAGAATTTCCATCCTGTATCATACCAGTGACTCATAACCCTGGCAGCCTGGCTTTGTAACTGGCCTCATCCCTTTTTAATTACTTTTTTTTTAAGCTCTACTAATTTCCTCATCACATGATTCATTTATACCATTTCTCATTAACCTGAGCCCGCATTTGCTCCCTCTATATATGTATATTTTGGTGCTGACATGAAGCAGATAGAACAGGTGCCAAATGTTTTTTGTGGTTTTTTTTTTTTTTTCCCATTAGCCCAAATTACTTCAATGCTTTGAGGTGTTTTAAAGAAAAAAGCCTTGGAAGCTGTCACATATTTCAAGATACCTTTTGCCTGTAGGGCTTACAATGCTGGAGCACTCTCCAAGCG